TCTTTACATTTCCAATTTCATCAATTTGCATTCTGACCTTAATTATTTATTTTCCTTGTTCTGCTTTAATTTGTTCTACTTTATCTTGTTTCTCAGTATCAAGGCTGAGGTCATGGACTTCAGACCCTTCTCTTGTCTGAGATGGTCAGTTCTGGAAATAGGTGTTGAGTCCTGTTGTCATGTCTCCCACAAATTTTATTCCTTAAATTTTATTTGGAAATGAATATAGAGGCATAAGAATCTGTGAAACAGTACAGTGCCATTCTGTATACCTATCATCATTTCCATAACTAGGAAACTGTACTGATATAATTCAAAATTTCAAATCCATTTCATGTGAGGGTGGACTCCACGTTATCACACATGTAAATCTGTATAACCTGCACCACAGTCAACACAGGAAATGGCTCCATCCCTGCAAAGTTCTACCTTGAAAAGGCACGTTCCACCCTCTCTTTCCCGCCTGTACCTAAGCCCCTGGTCACCACTAATCTGTTTCCGTAACTCTGTGATGGCATGTGGCACAATTTCCTTGAACGTCAAAGTGCTGCACGTGTGAACAGCTAAATCTACAGTTTAAAAGTGTAACATTCTAATACATGCATGTGTTATGGTATCAACTTCACTCAATTCAAAATAATTTCTAACCTCCCTTATGATTTCTTCTGTGAACCCTAGATTCACACGGGATCCCACACCTAGCGATTACTTTGGATGAAGTCCAAACTCTGACACCCACTCCCCTAAAACTAGCTAATGTAAGCAACTTAAAAATACTACTATGGTTAAATCACCTTAAAGAAAAGGAAGAAAGACTGTATATTTTTCCTCTAAATAAAGTTTTCCTAAATTAACTCTGTAAGTTCTGCTTTTAATTTACAATTTGGAAGACTGAGAGTAGACTAAAGAAAAAATTATTATCTAACTTAGGTTCACATTCAAAATTGATATTTATTAATTTGTTCAAAGGTTAAGCTTTGTTTTTGACAATGGAATACACTATGGTAAATTGCATTTATTAAAAAGGTATATATATATATATTTAAATCAATCTGATTTGTTTTTAATTAAGTATTATGGTCACATACAAATTTGTGCTCATGTTGTACCTTCCTCACTTTAGTCCTTCTAATGAGCTGACAGGAAGCACCACTACTAATCACACATACAACAGTA